TAGGCCAGAAGTGGCCGCAGTACAAGGGACTTAGTCCCAATCCACTAGCAGAAAAAAAACTTCGATTCTGAATTGACAGACATGTGATCAGTTCCTTAGGTCACTGCCACTTGATGAACAACAATATGACAATTATGCAGTCAGTACACTGCAACGCGCACTCTTTCATAACCGCGCTGCTATCACATACACAGTGTTAGTGGTACAGGCAGTGTATACACAATTGCCATTACCAGTCACAAGTACAAATCGAAGACGTGACAGGAGAAATCTAGAACTGGTATCTGATGAAGTAGTTGAACTTGAACACGAAGTGAACTGCCCTCGCCACCAAGAAAAATCATTTAAAATAAACTTGCATGTGGGACCTCCCGAAACCTCAGTTGAAGTAAGAATTTCTGATTGGGTTCCCGCATGTACCGGCCCAATGCTTATAACAATCGGACTGTAAATTCTGCGGGTGTGAAATGACTGGCCGCACGAGTAGCGCCGGTTATGCACAGGCGAGATATCGTCCTAAACACAGTCCACCCGCTTTCGTGACTCGAAAGTGACAAGCTAATCTGAAATATATCCTTAACTCTACGTTTCTGCTGTACCTGCCCCAAATCCACTGCTATACAACATCAACAGGACATGGCCTTATCCATGTATCTTATAACCATCGGTATGTACCAGTGAGTACTCGGGGTTCGAAGCCGGGCTGCACTGCTACAGTTGTTTTCATTGCCACTTTTAAACATGACGTGTATGGGTGTAAAACATGGTCTCTGACATTAAGGGAGGAACTTAGGGTGTTTGAGAACAGGGTGTTGAGAATATTTGGACCGAAGAGGGATGAAGTGACAGGAGGTTGGAGAAAACTGAATAATGAGGAGCTTCTTAACTTGTACTCTTTTCCAAGTATAATTAGAATGATCAAGTCAAGGAGGATGAGGTCGGCAGGGCATGTAGCATGAATGGGGGAGAAGAGGAATGCATATAGGATATTAGTGGGAAAGCCAGAAGGAAAGAGACCACTGGGAAGACCAAGACGTAGGTAGGTGAACAATATTAAAATGGATCTTAGAGAAATAGGATGGGATAGAATGGATTTGATCTATCTGGCTCAGGATAGGGGCCAGCGAATGGCTCTTGTGAACAAGGCAATGAACCTTCGGGTTCCATGAAATGCTGGGAAGTTCCTGAGTAGCTGCACAATTGGCAGCTTCTCAAGAAAATTTAATACACTACTGTGCACCATAAGCCTGCCACTTATACTTCGATCTCTGTAATGCTAGAATCTTGAATTAAAATGTAAGTGTGCGTTCGTGTCTTGCGTAAGAGTTCTTGTTATGGTAACCGATCCGCTTGTAGCAAAGTGCGTCACGTTATATAAGCATATTCACTTTACAGTTCTCTGTTATGTTGACTGAATCTTGTGCATTACTTACTGAATGCTTAAGAGATTTAACTTCAAACGCCTAAATCGCTTGAGGACAGCAACTTTTGTAGACCTTTATCACAGCCCGCGCTCTGCAAACCGATGTTGATGAATCACAATTAGCACAAGGGACGGCGTTCCACAGAGCATATGCTGTCCCTATGCGACATGGCAGCCGCTCAGCATTAGTGATAGTTTTTTTCGGACATAGATTTAGCCAACCACTTAAATTAATTCGAAGAAATGTTACCATTTTCGACGCAATTTTCTTTCGGAATTTTTGTTACATGTCAAAATGTATGCAATTAGTGAAAATGTAATGATTTGAGGGGGGGAGGAGATGAGAATGTGGCTGGGGTAGTAAGTATGGAATCTAATGGCCGTGCCATAGCTCAAGCGGTTAGTCGCCGGCTTCCCATCGCAGCGGCCCGAGTTCGAGCCTAGGTCTGGTCATGTGGGATTTGTGGTAGACAAAGTGGTACTGGGGCAGGTTCTCTCCGAGTACTTCGGTTCCTCTTGCCAATTCTCATTCCACTGACTGCTCCACGCTCATCATCTATCAGCCTGTGGTGGTACAATAGGCCAAACAGTGGTTGAAGTACCACGTGGACTCAATCTCACACCACCACAAGAAATTAAAAAGAAAGAAGAAAGGCATCTAAGTCTCTTAAACAATGGGAGTACTTCTTCACTTTACTAAATCCCATATAGAGATTACTAGATGTACACACTGGTTAGCGCCAGTCATACAATGAAGACGAAGAAATGAAATCAGCTAATTACAGTAATTCAGTACATATTTACACACTGCTTGCATTGACCTGAGAAGGGTTTAAACGTATGACAATTATATGCAACTCAGAGTTCATGTGTACATCACTGATAATGCATAGGACAAGTATTCCATGCAATTGAAATGTCACACGGGTTCCTGCTTCCTTTTACGAAGTTTCTCTGTTCTTAGTCACAAGGAGCACAAATTTTTTTCACATAAAACATGAAATTAGAATCTTTGTATAATGTCATAAAATTAAACATTTTCAATACACTCTTTCATTACAAAAATGCCCGGTTTCAACCTAATTATTTCTTGCAGTAAACTGCAGAGTCTACTCAAACAATGAAATCGTTTGCTTATCATGTTGATATTATGAATAAACACTGTGTTAAAAAGATTTACAGGCTTTCAGGGGGTATAGTATTCGCTTAATTGAGCAAAAGACCGCGGCATAGCTCAAGCGGTTAGTCGTTGGCTTCCCACCACCGCTGCCCAGGTTCGATCCCGGGTCTGGTCAAGTGGGATTTGTGGTGGACAAAGTGGTGCTGGGGCGGGTGTTCTCCGAGTACTTCGGTTTGCCCTGCCAATCTTCATTCCACCAATTGCTCCACAATCACCCTCACCTATCATCTGGGGCTGGTACAATAGGCCAGAAGTGGCCGCAGTACAAGGGACTTAGTCCCACCCCACTAGCAATAAAAAATAATTGAGCAAAAGTCTCAGTCGACATTTGTCCAGAAACCAGAACCGCCTGAGATATGGGTGATGTTCGTGTGATCTCTACAGCAGATGCTCTGTGTGGTTCCCAGTTCAACAGAGATTTCAGCTCTTCGTCGTGCAGAGGTGCGCACTCTGTCGAACATTCCTGGTTTCACTTGAATCTCCTGACAGATATCCTCATTGTAAAAAATTATATAATATTTGTTCCTTGTTACTTAAGAACTGCAGTGCAAACCTTCCACGAACAGAGTTACATATTATATATTTACATTTATTTTCATTATTCCTATCCAAGAAACACATTTTGAGGCATGTAAATGTGCCTATGTTACATGTAACATAATAAAATGTTCAATTCGACGTCAGTTGTCAGATTAAAGGGTTTGTTCTACTATTATATAAATCCTTATTAAGTAATCACTGATAAACATATCTGTAATTCACACTTTTAAATTGACTTAAGTTATCTAATCTATCTGATTTATGGCAACAGATTTGTAATAGTAGTTCTAGTGGAGGTGATGTAATGAGAGTACGAGTACCTGGATGTTACAAGGGGCACGCAGTAGCGTAGTTGCTACAAGCCGGAAGGTCGCGGCTTCAAATCCCGATGAGGTCATTGGATATTTTTCAGCTGACCTAATAATTCAAGCCGCATTAGGCCCTGGGGTTTTCTCAGCCTCTAACAGAAATGAGTACCAGGAATTAATTAAACAATTTTCCTGGGGAGTAAAGCGCGGCCGGCGCGTAAGGCTGACAACCTTACCGCCATCTTTGAGCCGATTTTCTAGATAGTGTGGGACCCTCAACGTCTCACAACCCTATGGGCCTTCACGGCCTCTTAAAGGGATAGCTTTACTTTTTTTTTACTTTTTTACCTGGATGTTACAAAAATCATAATCTTGATAAATAATGTGGCGTGCCGCCAGAAAGCCGAGATGGTTGAGGAGATCAGGGTTGGTTTCCTAGACAACGCGCACTGTTCCACGTACAGCGGCTAGGAATCAGAATGCATCTATTGTTATGCAGCAGCTAGCAATATCCAAGCAACGAATTGTTTGTTGCGTAACAGCGGGCGGAATTAACCCTTCGACAAGGCATTCCCTATTCAGTCCGAGGGCAAGTTATAACAGTCCAACGTCGGCCAGAGTCCAGAGTCAAGAGTCAAGAGGGACTCGGAAGCAAGAACGATTGCGCTGGCGAGGACCCGAAACAATTTATCCGACCGACCGTACAGCACAAATGCAGTCATGAACACTGTGGTAGTAAAATGGTGCTGGAAATTAAAATATACAAGCGGCAATGAGCCTGGCAAACACACAATTGTCAACCAGTGCTGTCTCAGGGCGGACAGCCCTGAGCAGTGACATGAGGAGTTACAAAATTTCTGCTGACTGCAGACATTTTTGTTCATTGTGTTCATTCAATTCCAATTACCAAACTGACAGAAAAGAAAGACCATCAGACATGTATCGAAGAGGACACGGAGAAACTTCAAGAAAATGTACAGTGAAAGCAGAATCATATAGTTCTCTATCATTAATATTTTGCTTTGGTAAATTTTATATAAAACCATAGACAAACAAAGCGTGCTCAAATTAAGAAATCTAGTATCACAGAGTTGTGATTTTTCTGTCGGATAACACCGAAGCGCTAAACTAGAACTGAACTTGTCAGGACTTTAATCAAGACACAGTGTTAAAAATTCATAAGGACATATACATCCCACCATAATTTAGTCGCCCAGTTAACTAGTTTGAGAAGAAAAGATGAATAAAAAATTTGAGCCTTACATATCCTGGTTTGATGAAAAACCCTCTTTGACCTATGCAGTATAGTTTAGTTTCCATAAAGTCAGTAATGTTGACGTTATATCATTAATTTTGGAATAAGAGAAATATTTATATATTCAAGAGTGAAATAATGACAGTATTCTTAATGATAACTAACACACAAATGATTGACATATTCACTTACACTACAGCGTTAACAAAAACTGATTATTCTGAATGTTGCAAATTAATAATAAGCGTTTCCGGCCGAAATGACGATCGAGAAGCAGATAAACACAGCGCTTACCAGAATACAAGGACGGAGATTGGGTTGGCTGTAGCACGAGGATTGGCATTTGTCAACTTCTTGCTCGAGTCCATTGCAGTGTTCGCTTGCGTGGTCTCCTACATCAGCACTCCACAGCAGTCTTCACTGTGAACAGGTTTAGAGTGAAGTTAGACTTTGTGATGCTCCTCAATACAGAGGGTATACCTCCAAGACGCGGAGGCAGTCCCTTTCTGTATGATAGGTCTTACGGCGTTATCAGTATCTATGGCGTCAAATGGCAGGATAAAAACCACGAAACACCTCAGGACAATGTCCCGGCCGACAGCTGAACCAGATAGTCTGCAGTGTTGCCACTGCACCAGTCTGCTACCCTTCTTGAGAATTGGACGGTTATTCAAGTGATGAAGGAATTCTCAGCCTTTCAATCATCGGAAGGATGGATGTCATTTCAGAATCTTGTAGGTTTAGTAGTACGTCAGTATGGTGTTCCTTAAGCGGCCTCAGTAGTCTAGGGGTAACGTTTCCACCTCATGACTCAAGGTACGCGGGTTCAAACCCGGCGGAGGTCGTGGAATTTTTAAGGGCGGAAAAATTCAGGGAACAAGTCCTCCGGGAGGGACTTTAAGCCGTGTCATAGATTTACGGCACGTAAAAGATCCTCATGTCTCTAGGAGACCTCTGAGCAAAATTAGGCAACAATTTCCCGCCCAAGTAGTTTCCAATGCCTCTGGTAGATGGGGGAAATATCAGGTACCGACGGCCGACCTCGTTGGCTGAACGGGGCTGACAGCACCCACCAGTAGGGTATGGCGACAGTAGAAATTAAAGGGGGATGCACAATGGACCAATAACTGGTCTAAGTGCATGGGAAACCCACCCCCTTTAATAATAATAATAATTGTGTTCCTCCACCCCAAGCCCGTTGAAAATATCAGAAAGATGAGTTCCAAAATTTTAGTTTCAGTCTACCTCAGTGAAAAGTTTAAAATATCAGAACGCCGATTTTCAGGATCTCAGTTGTAAGTTTATGTCAGTGTTACTTTTTCCGAAACCCAGTTGAGATTTCAGCAAGCCGAGACTTCCTGACACACTCATTCAAAACTCTCACTCACTCACTTATCTCACACCCAAATGTACGCAACAGCGGATCCCCCAGTGTTACAAGTTCTTTCCTTAGAAACACAGCCACAAGAAACGCTACCACTAGGCACGGGTGGAACTAAGATTCGTCCATGAACCCTGAACCCCCACCTTGAAGGGTCCCCCCCCCCAGTCCATACAGCCCTTTTAAGTGGGAAAAGGTTTCCAGAATGGTTGACGCAACCTAGGCTTGCCACCCCCAAGATGTATAGCAAGTGACAGCAGACGGGTAGGAGAGAAGACCACACGTAAACAGCCGTACCAGCAGTTTGAGACACTATACCACAGCATAACAACACAATTAAAAGTAATGATGACTGACAATGCCATGACTTCCATTGTGTTGGGTTCGTGTGACGATAATAAACATCCCGCATATTATGTAAAGAACATCAACATTTTATTTCTTCGGCTTTATTACTGATCTCAGTAACTTCCTTCAGGTGACAAATGACATTAAGAGTTTTCCATCCCGGAACAGGCAAATCTCGCGGTATCTTGGACCGTAACCTGACGTCAGCCCGCTTCTGCTTCAAGGACTGACGAGGATTTCCATGCTGTCATGGATGCATTCAGACAAACTTATCTGACACGTAGATATCGCCATCCTGGCCTAAACTGGTTCAGATTTCCCAAATCCTCCAATCCAATCTTGTAAAATTCCTGTGCTTAACTAATTAAGCATTACGCCATGAAAATGTACGAGGAATGGATAAATAGATCCATGTATTCTTGACATCGGCATTAGATGTAGGTAAGTGGTCAGCTTCACGCCCTGGCCGCTTTATCTCAATGGAAAGACCAGCTGGTACCCATACAATTTCATTCTAGACCAAGTTTGTCGGTTTTTTTAGCGTAGAAGCCTGAATCTAAAAGTCTGTGTGTTCCTAATTTTTTGAAGTATTAGAAAACTTAGCAAGTAAGAATTTCGTTTCGCTATTCACAGTTATTTACAACATTTAATCACTAATTCGACAAAGTAACACGTAACTTACTGTTGCAAAGTTGGCTCCACCCTCATAGTCGAAGAATACGCCAATCAAGAAACCAGCTTGAAGCAGGTAGCAAATAGAGCCTTCTCCTTGCATCCTGCTACATGCTTTGCTTCAGTTATTTTTCGACCCTGAATATGGATACGATATGTTCCTCCGAAACATTGGTTGACTTTCAACGGACTACATTTTATCATTATATCCCAGAAGATAGAACCCCTTCATAACCACAGCTATAAAAACCTAAAATCCTACTAACCAAATTTACCCGTTTTGGAGGCACCTGTTGCCCTCATTTACAGATTTTCCACCCTGAAGATTGAGTCAGCGGGCTTAATTATCAAATTACATTTCGTCACATCTCAGAAGAACGTAATCATAAACATAATTTGAGGATAATACACACATTACTTCAACAATAAGATGCAATTCCGTAAGCCACTAGATACTGAAATTTGTTTCCAATCGCTAAATATGAAAATTACTGCGATACGGAGATAAATAAATGCAAATTCCTCCCGTATTCTGGAATATTTTTGATTGAAATTGTATTTAAATGTAACTGAATAGGGCCTCAGATGATATTTTACAGCAGATCGCTGAGTAAAAGATAAAGACATTTCCGTAAATAATCAAAAAAGAACTCTTGGCGTAATTCGACTGGTGTTTCGGGCCAGTTTAGATCTTGTGCACTTGTGCTAAAGGTTTATCGTTGCCGGGCTCTAAGCTGACGTCTTTCCTCTGTAATGGGCCAAGATCCTGGTCTGAGATGAAATGCCAAATATACCGTGGGCAGGACTGTCGCATACCTCACGAGGCGGTAAGAAGCAATGGTAGAACGACGATTAGTAGGGCGAAACCGATGAAACCCGAAGAGAAAACTGCCCCAGTGCCTCTTCGTCCTCCATCACGAACCTCACCTCTTTGAATGAAATTTAAGAAAACATAATTTAAGACATACTAATTTAAAAAGAGCATTTAATTTTAAATTGCGCGAAGAACTAAATTAACTGTTAGACCAGAGTTCTTCAACATTTTTCAAATCACAGCACACTGAACAGGGCACCAAAATTGTCAAGGCACGCCATCAATTTTAAGGATAAATTTTATCATTAAAAACGAGTAATAAGATTGTGTTTAAATGTTCAATAGCTAAAATTCTAATCTTTGTGTCATTTTAAAAAATAATATTGATCATGGATTTCGACATTTTTTTTATTCCTCAATTTTCTTCTCGCTTCATTTCGGCCTTCCCCCTAACTTCCACGACACACCCTGCGGACCCTTGGCGTCACACCAGTATGCCGCAGCACACCAGCTGAAAATTGCTGTGGTGGACAATCAGTTTTATACTATTTAATTACATGACATAAAAGCTGTATTCGTAGAGATGGGTTAACAAGACAGTGCTTTGTGTTATGTGCATACGGGCAAAATATTCAGTCCAATCGTGGATATGCGGTCCGTGTCGTATCAAAGGAAAGTAGGCGACTAGATCTTTGCAGAACTTCTTGTTTATTCAATGTACTTACAATTACTCTTAATATCTGCCATCAGTCCCATCCAACTTAGACCTGAGGACGCGCCATGCCGTGGTGACTTAGCACGTTCTAAAATAAACGTGTCAAGTCATACGTAACTAATTGGACACAATGTTGCAATACATCCGCTACAATGTATCAGTCGGAATGTTAGATAAATTATCTTTAACACGATATAACACCGAGTAGTCATTCAAAAATCAACCGACGTTCCGGAGGAGAATGTGGCCTCCATCTTCAGGGCCAAAGAATAACCCAAACAGGAAACTAGCATGAAGGAGGTAGTAAGATGAAATGTTCCTCCGAAATATCGGTTGATATTGTGACATGCAGACCCACTTCTTGGCAACGCCCGAAATACGCGCAAGCAACAGTAGAACCAGTGTCGCAAGAGGTGTTTTCTATGTGGTTCGCCTATAAACATCGTAAGGTATCGGGCCAATAAACACACATTCTTGAAAACATAAGAAAGGGTTTTCTGTGGAGCCCGCGCTGGAGAGTTATCTTGAAGACAATCGACGCCACAGGATCCAGTTGAGAAGAGGATTCAGGTGTGGAGTGTTTACCAGCGGACAACGGAAGCGGAAGAATTTCTATTGCTAAGATTCGTTACAGGAAAACATCTAATGAAGACACTGCATATGGACAGTCATTGTGGAGAACTGTTACCAAGTAAAGGCTAGTGGAAACAGACTGAGAAGACAATGTTGAGTGATTCGTAGTGCGGAAATCAGCCATAATGTAATAATTATTTGTAGTTACGACTTGTAAGTTGTCAATATATATTCACCAATCCAAACCCTGTCTGCAGTCTCTAATACACGTGACAATATTCAACCAACTACAAGGCGTTATATAGCAGACGACTTAACTCATCATAACCACCGATGTGATAACCTCAAATCCTACATTATCTTTCATACTTAACCAAATGTAACTATAGTATATGCTTATCATATCATGAACCTATCGTTCAGCTCACAAATGACGTAGTTTGACTCTGCAGTCACAAGTGTTAGGGCGAGGGCACACCAGCCTGAGTTAACACTTCTAGGAAATTGCGGTTGCGTTGCGGTTGCCAGTTTCCTTAGTGTGCCCTTGCCTTTACAGTACACACCTCGTCAGTAATTAATTGCAGTGAATCACTCTTCAAATATTTCTTGCGGAAGCGGGATATTATGCAGAATTTGAAGAGACTGCCTTCTAGGAGTAATGCACTTTACATCTTATGTATTTTTATCACTAATTATATACATTACGATTAATGGACTTTGTTACTTTGTCCAGTCCTATACTAGTATTGCACATCAGATAAAAGGAAGCACAAAAAGAAGAGACTGGTGCAAAGACACAGCATGTATTTCTTCCTAGAACCTTCACGGATCACAGACCACTGCTATCCTTAAACAAAGATTCCAGAAAAGTTATCTGTTTTAATTATAGAGGACGTTAATTCACATAACATTACCATGAGTCCCTACATAGAACATTGTTATTTTATGAGAAATATGAGCAGTGAAATTTTATTTTGGATTATCAATAATACTGTCACGTGTAGGAGTGTTCCCACCGCGGCGGCCCGGGTTCGATCCCGGGTCTGGTCGTGGGATTTGTGGTGGACAAAGTGGCGCTGGGGCAGGTTTTCTCCGAGTACTTCGGTTTCCCTTGCTAATCTTCATTCCACCAATTGCTCCACAATCACCCTCACCTATCATCTGGGGCTGGTACAGTAGGCCAGAAGTGGCCGCAGTACAAGGGGCTTAGTCCCACCCCACTAGCAATAAAAAGAAAAAGAAAAAAAAGTAACACTTAAAGTTTCCGTTGCCGGTCACGGTAGCCGAGCGGTCTAAGGCATGCACTGTCTTCGCTCGCTCGGAAGCCGGGATCGTGGGTTCGAATCCCACTCAGGGCATGGATGTTTGTCTGCGTTTTTCTGTGTTTGTCTACAGGTAGAGGCCTTGCGACGAGCTGATCACTCGCCCAAGGAGTCCTACCGAATGTGTAACATCTAGAAAAACCGAAGTGAACGGAGTTCATGGAGGTAGGCCTAGGCCCACTGGGGCTGTAGTGCCAAGGGGGGAAAAAAGTTTCCGTTACAACGGCGAGTGAAACACGTTTTCATGGTAACGGTGAAATAACAGAGGAATGAACTGTTGTACCTGGTGTTCTGTCTCCGGTCCACTTGAAGCCAGCTGAGGCCGAAATACAGAATCCAGACATAAGAGTTCGAGAGAGGGAATTCCAGAAGATTGAGGATTGAGGATGGACTACTAAGCAGACGCTGAAAACACTCTTTAGCGTGTTATAGTTACAGTAATCTTCAGAATGTTATAATTACTTGTACTTACGACTTGAGAGTATCCAATAAAGCGATTCATAAATCCAAACCTCGTATACAAGTCATTAATACATGTGACAATATTATTTTGGCTCTTGTGCCTATGTAAATTACTAAATTTTATCAGAATCAGACAAACCGTTTTCAAGAAAACTTCCATTTTGCTTTGAAGCCGCCATAGGGTGTACCATCGTTTTCTTTAAGGCCACCTATACAGTTTTATTTAGGAAGATTGTCTACATGCAATAGCGAAATTTATTCACCATTGTTACAGCCCATTTTCAGATAATCGCCATTTTGTGCTTGTGGGCCCCGTGAAGGGGCCCTATTTTAGGTTCTGGAATGTTTGCATTAAGCCTGCACTGACAAAAAAACAAGCTCCGTGGCTGTAGTCCACAAGCGAACTATACCGAGCGAGCGACCGCCGCTTGTCGGTGAAGTTAGTGCCAACTTTAGCGGATAGATGATGTCATGTGGTCAGCGCAACGAATCCCCACGGTCGTTAATTTCGGTTTTCTACACCGGAGCCGCTATTTCCTTGAAATATCTCATCAATTATCCTCATGAGGCTGAGTGGACCCCGTTCCAGACCCACTAATTCTCAGAAAATCTGGTAGCGTCGGGAATCGAACCCGGGACCTCTGGATCTGTAGCCAGGAACTCTGACCATTAGACCACAGAGGCCGTCACCGTGCACTGACTCATGCATAAACTCCGCCTATTCATTCAGGCGCTGAAGAGGCGCACATATAGACAGACATAGGGCATTCAACTTTTTCACATTCAAGGATGGTGACAATGCATAAATTGATCAAACTCTCGAGATATTTCACTTTCAGAATACCCTCTCATACAGCTTTTATAAGAAAGTAAAATGGTACCGGGTAGGCTCATATAGGGCTACCCATCAGTTCTGAAAATCATGACGTGGGTTCCCCAAACTGCCGGGTGACCTCCAATATGCAAGATTTCAGGTTCTAATGGCGGTAACCTTCGCGTGACTGTAATTACTCGTGTAATGTCCTCCTTTTCCCCCACTATTTTTAAAAATTCAAAAAATGGAACATTATGTAAACTGTTTTTATAATTGGTTTTTGCTGCTATATAACCCATCATGAGGACATTATAGGCCCATATGGGCTTACCGTTTTCTGTCGCCATTTCATAGATTTTCTGTAGTTGTTGCTTCAATTAAATTTAGTTATCTTGGTATCGTAGTTGTAATTGTATTTCTTAGAGTTGTAAGTGTATTTTCATTGTATTTACTGTGTGCTAGTGTGTCCTTTGTTGTTTGTGTAGTTTTGTTTGAGTGTGGTGTGTTATTTTATGTGTTGTGTCTTGTTGTGGTACCACTGCCACCAGGCAAAAACCAATTTGCAGTTTAAGTAAATAAATAATAATAATAATATATCTATGGTCGTAATCTCCCATTCCTCGTTCTAAAACACAAACATCAATTACGAAAATCACACCCAGTAACTCTTTTAAATGTACAATGGCTGCCTCTAACAATCTGGCCAAAAGGCAAGGAAGTCGCACTAAAAAAGAGGCAAAGTTGTCTGTGCATAATTCATTAAGCACTATGCCATGGACACATACGTGGGAGGTATACCACCATTCTCAACATCGGTACTAGATGGAGGTGAACTGTAAGCTTCATGCCCCGACCGCTTTACCCCAGGGAAAAGATCCTCCGGTAGCGATTGGATGAGGAGCTGGTTGGGCCCCAGAGCGAGTCTGGACGCAGAGGAAGATATAAAATCTTGCCCTGCTGGGATTCGAACACCGGCCTTCCAGCCTGTAGCTCTACCCAATAAGTTATCCGTACTCATGGGAAGTAATACTACACTTTTAAAAACAACATTTACCTATTTCTGGAGGACGGCAGTAGAGAAACAAAAGGCAATCACAATTCTTCCCCTTGAAATAGCTTCTACGTTCTCCGAAAGGTCAACTGTTGAGCCAGCGACAGGATAACTGCAAAGAGTTACATGCTGAGATGAAACTGAACAATGAAATATAACAACGCTAAAGAGAGGGCATTGTGTGAAAAACGGAAATCCGTAACTTACATTTCCTTCCACAAAAACTGAAGGAGTCGAAGATTCTAGGGAACATTAAGAGAGTAATTACGCCAGTACTTTGGGCGACTAAATTTTGATTAGTATATTTAATCCACATACCAGTGAATAGGTATGGTCTTCCTACACGGCGTCTTCTTTATGTAACAGATAAAGCCTTAACGGACGAAACTGTAATTCAGTTTCCTGACTTCAATTCTCAGTTATAGCTTATTTTGCAGTGAACATAACTATGGCAAAGGACCAATCTTTGTGAGCTGCAGGAACTGATCGTAATATTCGAATTAAAAAAAGTCATCGATCGATGAACCGGCGTGGCTCAACAAAAAATAATTACTGCCTAAATGTTATGGCTTTGCAGTTATCGACGTATCGGTAGAAATGCATAACCTATCAATTCCAAGATTGTGGGTGTGACTTCTCAGTCTGTGAGCAAAACTGCAGTTCCATCACAACTGCTGAATGGACAAATCTTGTATTATTGCATCGCAATGCAATCGGAAGTTGAAGGGCATTTTGTTCACTACGGTATTAAGGTGGGGGGTACGCGGTAGCGTGGTTGGTTGAGGCAATATGCTACAAGCCGGAAGTTAGCGAGTTCGATTCCCGAGAGCACTGGATTTATTTAAACTGGCCTAATCCTTCCACCTGCACTACCACCCTGGGGCGACTCAGCCTCTAACAGTAACGAGTACCAGGATTCATCCCTGGGGGGGTAAAGGGCGGCCGGCTCGTGAGGCTGACAACCTTACCGCCATCTGTGAGCCGATTCTTTAGAAGCTGTGGAACCCTCAACGTCTCACAACCCTACAGGCCTTCATGGCCTGTTACAGGGATAGCTTTATCTTTTTACGGTATTAAGGTAAATTTGACCTTCATTATTCACCCCGACATGAAGAAGTATGGAGGAGTGGTGGTATACCTCCACCATTATTAACCTCGGAACTAGCTGGAGGTGAGTGGTCAGCGTCAGCTTCACGCCCCTGTAACTTTACCCCCTGCACCTACTGGATAGAAAGCTGGGTGATCCCCCAGAGTCGGTCTGGACGCTAAGGAGAGGAGAAAAATCTTGCTCCCGCCGCAAATCGAACTCCTTCCGTGCAGCCCATATCCCGACGCTCTACCGACTGAGCTATCCTGGCTCTTTCAATACCAATCGCGGTTGTCATTGAGAGAGTTTTCGCCGCTCGAAGTAATTGTGGTGGCTAATACTAATACAGTACTAGCCACCAAAATTACTTCTGACGGCAAAAGCCGTCTCATTGATAACCGCGATTAGTACATAACTGCAAGAAATAAGAGATGAGACGACAGTACAATATTTACACCCCTAAAAAGAAAATCAGCTTAATTTGGCTGAGAATGGATTCCTGAGGTGGACTCTGTGAACGCGGAAATAAACACTTCTGAGTTCACTGAGGATGGAACTTCTTAACCACTTAGGCGTCCATTAGTGTTGTAAACACTATGCCGTGTGGGAGTGGTTAGCTTGTTAGTTGTCTGGTTGGTTGACCAGTTAGTAAGTGAATGAGTTAGTTGGTTAGTTCGTTAGTTACTTTGATAGTTAGTTAATCTGCCAATCAATTGACTAGCCAGTTAGTTAGCTGGTAGGGCCGCGCCACAGCTCAAGCGGTTAGTCGTTGGCTTCCCACCGCACCGGCCTGGGTTCGATCCCGGGTTTGGTCAAGTGGGATTTGAGGTGGACAAAGTGGCGCTGGGGCGGGTTTTCTCCGAGTACTTCGGTTTCCCCTGCCAGTCTTCATTCCACCAAATTCTCTATCATCATAATCCCCCGGGGCAGGTTACAGTAGGCTAATCAGTGGCCGCCGTGCCGAGTGGACCCAGTTGGACTCCCCCCCCCAATTAAGCAAATTTAAAAAATAAAAATTTAATTAGCTGTTCAGTCGTTCAGTCGGTTGGCAAGGCACGGTGAGTGGTGTAAGCCTAATAAAACTGAGTGTAAGAGCATTGATGAGTGCGAGTAGTACTGGAGCCGATTAAATGTCAGCTTGGCTTGATTTATTTAAATAATTTAAATACCTCTGCTGGATCCACAACATGAATCTGACAAGTTGTGGATGACGTTGTTTTGAAAGTTAATGTCTAATTTGTTTCTAACACTGTCGTAAAGGAACTTTTCATCCAGAGACTTTCAAGGAATACGTGAACGGAACTGATTTTGTTCTCATCTCATATTAGCAGCGATGTTTTGTTATCTCGCAAGTTTATTTTGCTGGAAGCGTATTATATAAATGTCAAAAGTTAACGCAATGTTAAGATATCGATTACAAGGCATCTTGTCTTACCGAGTTGGTTTATCACATACTTCAAGGAGTAGGCTATTTCTCTGAAGTCCTTATATTATCAATGATAGGACATGCAATTTCAAAGATACCAAGTTACGTCACGCAGCAGAGACCTTTCTCTAATAGCCAAATATTTATTCGTTAGTAAAGATATCCCCCTTCTTTTACGGACTCCGACGGTTTATTACCGTGTGCGCAACAGTCAGCTGGCTTCAATCCTGTCCTAAATATTACGATCTATTTACATATTAGCCTCCCAAGTAAGCCGAAGTGTGGCAGCGCCATAGCTCAAGCGGTTAGTCACTGGCGTCTCACCGCGGCTGCCCGGGTTTGATCCCGGGTCTTGTCAAGTGGGATTTGCGGTGGACAAAATGGCGCTGGGGCGGATTTTCTCCGAGTACTTCGGTTTCCCCTGCCAATCTTCATTCCACCAATTGCTCCACAATCACCCTCACCTATCATCTGGGGCTGGTACAATAGGCCAGAAGTGGCCGCAGTACAAGGGACTTAGTCCCATCCCAATAGCAATAAAAAAAACATACAGAACCATTGAAATTTAAAGGGCTATAGTCCGTAATTAAAACCCACCTGGATATTTCTGTACAGATGTAAATAACACCCCAGATACCTGTTTGCAAACGTAGGGCTCCACAGAATAACACAACACTCAGCAGCTTACACACGCGCTAACATGCTACAAGGACAACCAAGTACCTCCTTACGATCTGCCGGCACAGCAACTGCAGAACGCTGTGAGGGCTCTGAGGTCTCTGAGCGGGACACCACACAGTAGCAAATCCAGTACAGACGAGGAAAGTGAAAGTGGGGAGACAGGCATATTCAACGTGAGCAGAAAACCGCTGGTGTGACGCGCACGTCAGCTATTTGTTGTGTACACTTGCAATCTTCAGCTACAGAAACTGCACAGTAATGCTGAGCTGTGCGGTGGTCCAGCTGACCAGCAAAGATACTGCAGTATCTGACTGACCTTGAGTTCTGACACTCAATAGTCGCACAGAGCTGTTTTGGTTCTCCTACCGGCGTTACCGTGTTCGGGACGTCCGAGATTCAATATAGAGACCGGAGATCTTAAATAAGATTTTAGAAGGATATAGATTCACTTAATATAAACACTCCTGCTTCATACTCGGGAGTTTTCGAGCTCAAATCCTAGCCCCGATTTCGGCAATTCGATTCGGGTTACTTTCTGGTTTCTCTCAGTATCTTCCGGTTTTCCACGTTCTTTCCATTCACAAATATCCAGGGCTGGAAGCGTAAGCCAAGCAAGAAAACAACATGAAGCAGTCAGCAAACAGTGCCTTCATCATTCTGGTTTCTTGCTTGACTTACTCTTCAGCACTGAAGATAGAGGGGATATGTTCCTCGGAAACATCGATTGACTTTCACGGGACTACAAAGTTACATTCCAAAACACAGAACTCTTCACACTCACCGCTGTGAGAACTTCAAAACGTTTGTATAAGTAGATATAATATTTGAGATCGGAGATGGATGTAAGAATTTAGCTGTATCACATACGATAGAACATACACGTATATAGCCATGGCCCATACAGCGATTCTGAGGGGTCACTGAGCTAGCCGATTAGAGCGAGTATAATCAGTATCAGTTTGTTTATGGCACAAGCTTCTAGGCTATTATCTTTCAAAAAAGTAGCGCTGTTGAGTGTTATGGTGTATAAGGAAGTGTTCTGTTACCTAATCTCTTTTAGCGTAAGACAGAAAATAATACTGTGCCATTGTTACTTTCTTCTGAACGTCTGATAAGATTTATCACGATAAGAGGTTTCTTTAATTTTTGGAACGTCACGGGTTCAAGTCCCGATGAGGTCATTGGATTTTTTCAATTGACCTAATCCTTCCAGCCGCACTATGGCCCTGAGGTCGACTCAGCCTCTAACAGAAATTAGCACCAGGAATTAATTAAATAATTTTCCTGGAGAGTAAAGCGTGGCCGGCGCGCAAGGCTGACAACCTTACCGCCATCTTTGAGCCGATTGTCTAGATCAGTGGTTACCAACCTGTGGTGCGCGGACCCCCGGGAGCCGCGGGATAGTTTATTTTCATTAACTTTATCTTATCATGTTCCTCACACCTGGGATATTTGCAATGTATCTCTCTGGCTCTTGAGGTCCATCGTTGAAGTAAAATTTAACGGGACTGTTGTTACCGTAACGGTACCTTCCCTTTGTAAAACAGAGGTGAATAACCAACGATTTGTAAGATTTGAGGCTTTCACGGCGGTGACTATGAAGAAAGCAGTCTTCTGGGATTTAGCACCGTGTATATGTGGTGTTAACCGACGTTTCGGAGGAACATATCGCCTCCATCTTCAGGGTAGAAGAAAAAAATATAAGAAATCCGCAAGCGAAGAGACCGTGAAGCTAGGACCATTGACCACGTTTCCTATTCATTTCAGTGGCAGAGCGAACAACCTGTGTGTCTTCAGTTTTTGTGCAGTGGATTTTTATAATATTATACAAGTGTGTTTTTCTCGGTTTAATGTTCAGTTTTTCTGCTCTTGTTCAAATAATTGAGTTCACAACGAAAATTCTGATTTTCAGTTTGTTCACGATCTTATTTAGATATGGATCGGTGATTAAAGTGTGGATCGTTGATTAGGTGAATGTTAAATTCATAATATTAGGCCCAACTGACATGTTCGTGATCTTCCGAATAAGCTCCATTCATAACAGTATTTTATTGTCATAAATGAGACATTTAGTGTTGTAAAATTGTAAGTTACTGTTTCACTTTTATGATATGTAAAATATAAAAATTTCCATTTTGGGTTTTATGGGGGCGGTGGTCAATTAACATTCGGTACAGGCGGTCCGTGCATCAAAAAGGTTGGGAAACGCTGGTCTAGATAATGTGGGACCCTCAATGTCTCACGACCCTATGGGCCTCAATGGCCTCTTACAGAGATAGCTTTACTTTACCTTTTTACTTTTACTGTTGTATACATCCATCATTAAACTCCATAAATCCCTTTTGGTCAGCGCTTCATCAAAATATGAGAAGCAAGATATAATACGCGTATAATGCCTAAGTCGGTGGATGATATTAAAATTAGTCTTTAAAAATTGTTGCAAACACTTTGCACACTCTTTTTCATATACGATTGACCTTGATTACAGTACCTTTGAAAAGAAATCGATTGATGTTCGGCGGACCGTTGCTGATCGTTAAATATCCAAGTTGGTGTATTAAGTACTTATCGCTTAAATAATACGCCTGAGGGTGCTCAACCTTCTACCATCCTGAAATAAATGTTTCATGATAGTTATCTACAAGCTCTTGAATATGGCACAAGAATGAACTCCGTCCAATCCATGCTAATTTCGAAGAAACACATTTCGAGTTTGGCCCCTTAGTGCACGTAGCATTGCTTTACTAATGATTCGAACTCCGTGGCCTGTAGTCCGCCAGCGAACCATTCGGACCGAAAGAACGCCGCCTCTCGGCGAAATTAGTGTCAACTTTTGCGGATTTAGAGTGTCACGTAGTCAGCCCAACGGTTCCCCACGGCCGTTAATATCGGTTTTCTAGATCGGAAAGATTCGACCTATACACTTTTATTTAAGGTGATGATATCCGTAAAATTAATATTTAATCAAATCTGCTTTCGGTAACATAGGCACTACGCTACAAACCCGAAGGTCACGGTTTCGATTCCCGCTTGTCGGCGAAGTTAGTGCCAAATTTGTGGATAGAGGGTGTCAAGTGATCAGCAGAACGCATTCCCAAGGCCGTTAATCTCGGTTTTCCAGACCGGAGCCGCTTTTTTCTTGAAGTAGCTCCTCAATTATCCTCACGAGGCTGAGTGGACTCCGTTCCAGAGCCACTACTTCTCAGAAAATCTCGTAGCGCCAGGAGTCGAACCCGGCCCTCTGGATCTGTAGCCTCTAACCACTAGACCACAGAGGCGGTCCTACAGGCCACGGAGTTTCTTATCCCTGTACTGATCTGGCACTGGCCAATGACAGATAAATTCTTAAATGCCGAATATGGATGAAATCTGTGAAACCGTTCCAGGGTTAGCGAGGGCCACTTCCCTCCATATGTAAATAGAGACAGATGGAATTGCAGACACCAGTTTTCATATTCGATGGAGCTAAAACATGTGAATCCTTCAAAATCTCGAGATGGACTTTTTTCACTGCCACAACACTTTCTCAAAGAAGGACCGCCTCTGTGGTATAGTGGTCAGAGTTCCTGGCTACAGATCCAGAGGTCCGGGTTCGATTTCCGGCTACGAGATTTTCTGAGAAGTAGTGGGTCTGGAACGGGGTCCACTCAGCCTCGCGAAGATAATTGAGGAGTTATTTCAAGGAAATAGCGGCTCCGGTCTAGAAAACGGAAAGTAAGGGTCGTTGGAATTCGTTGCGCTGACCAAGCGTCACCCTCTATCCGCTGAAGTTGGCACTAACTTCGCCGACAAGCGGCGATTGCTCGGTCGGTATAGTTCGCTTGAGGACTAAAAGCAAGGAGTTTTTTATGTGTACGAGGAAGTGAAAATAATATGTGAGGCTGTGGGTTACATGTTACTGGTCCACGACAGGGTCCTTTGACAGTACCTTATGAAGACGACAATAATCCTTCACGTTTTCACATCGTGGAGAACTTCTTGGCTGAGCCCGTTATGAGTCCCTCAAGAAAGACTCTTCGTCTGCTCCACGGAATTAGTTATACAGATAACAATTTGAAAAATGTTTCATTGAATTGGTTCCGCAAGAATACATTGATGAGTTACTGATTAGTGTATTATGTACAAAACTGTGTTTGAGGGTTCCTCATTTTTATGTAAATATATGTTACCCACAAAATCAAAGGATATTGGCTCTAATATATTCCGTTAATTATCCCCTTGTTTTCTGACGACAGAAGAAATATACTTATTGCATACTTAATGAGAAAATTGTTCCAATGTTTTGTAAAGTTACAATGAAACACAGTTAAAACACCACTCCCTAATTCGGCGGACATAACTGTTTCGCACACGGCCATCCCATGAAAGGAATCTTTTGACCTGTTACAGCCCTGACTCCTAACTTTTATACGAGTAAATTAAGCATTTAAAGACACATCAAAGCTACTCTTGAGACGGGAGAAATATAGAATATATTAATCTGATGTGTAAGGTGAATATTCACGATATATTTGGTATCCAAACGATATATAGGCCTATCCGACTTTCTAAAATAGACACACATACATTGTAGCGTAGTTGCTACAAGCCGGAAGCTTGCGGATTCGAGTCCAGATGAGGTGGATTTTTTAATTTACATAATCCTTCAACCCGCAATATGGCCCCGGGGTCGACTCAGCCTGTAACAGAAATAAGTATCAGGAATTTTTCTGGGGAGTAAAGGGCGGCCGGGGCGTAAGGCTAACAAACTTACCGTCGTCTGTAAGCCGACTGTCTAGAGAAAATGTGGGAGTCTCACCGCCTCACAACCCTATCACGGCCTGTTGCAAGGATAAATTAACCTTTTACGTTACTTTTACCAATTACACGTATTTTCGCATTAATTCATTTTAACATGCACTAAATTTAGGAACCTAATTGAATATTTCGGAGAAGTTCATGGAGGTAGGCCTAGGCCCACTGGGGCTGTAGTGCCAAGGAAATAAATTGAATGTTTACGTGTATCAAATTTTGGTGAAACCTCTCAGGTCTACGAGTATGCAGTACGTTTGTTATACGAATATTAACATGCATATATTTCATTCACAGTGCGAGATTTGGTGTTCCCACGGAGGAGGCTATAAGCACTATATTCTTCTGCGATGTTATCAGACTATGGGGTTTCACATGTCAGAAGACAGTACTTTTCATTCTCTTCAACTATACTGCCAAGTGTTTATGGCT